TGCTTTTTTTTTTGAGCATTCTGTGAATAGTGACTAATCTCTGTGGATGGATTCTTTTCCACAAATGTGGGATCCACTCATATTTCATAGTCAATAGGACACTACTGGCCCTTCCTAGTGTCAGAATCCATTTCAATTCCACAAGCATTAAGCACCTCCTTGGTTTAATATGTTGTACTAGGCAGAAAGATATAAAGATAAAAAAGACAAACAATACATCCTAGATTCATAGATTGTTCCTTGTTCTAAGAGGTCATCTAATCCAATACCATATTCCTACAGATGAGGAAATGGAACTCTAGAGGGATACAAAAAACTTGTACGAGGTCAAAAAGTTGGTTAATGTCCCAACCAGGATTCAAACTCTGGTCTCAAATCCAAGTTTAGTTCACTTTCCATTATGTTGCTCCATAAGAGTTTGTGGTATTGTGTAAAGAGTTCTGGATTTGTAGTGAGAGTCGAATTCCAATCCTGATTCTGACACTCAATGTGTGACCATGGCCAGTCACTTCATTTCTCTGGGCCTCCAAAGCCTGATCTGCTAAGTGGAAATGACAGAATACTTCTACACTACTTACCTCATGGGGCTGTTGTGAGAAACACACTTTGAAAACATGAAAGTATCATATGAATATGAGTTCTTACAGGAACAGATGAGAAGCATATACAAATAATTAAAATAGAAAGTAAAATAACATGCTAAGCGTATTGAGAGGTATATTCCAAGTCCTAAGACAATGTCAAGGGCAGAAAGAATATTTCCACCTAGAAGGCTGAGAAAAGGCTTCACACAGAGGAGGTGGCAATTGAACTGAAGAACAGGTTGGATTTCAGGTAGGGATGGGAAGCCACTCTAAGCAGAGGGGATAGCTGAGCCAAGGCCAGAACAGGTTCAGGGGATGGTGGATTGTTCAGTCTGGCTGGAGTTCAGAGAATGTGGGTAAGGGAAGAAATGTGAGATAAGACTGTTCAGCTGTTTTTGGTGCCAGCTGTCACAACCTACCAGGGGCAGGGATGATATGTACTAATGATTAAGCAATTCCCTAGTGATAAGGGAAATCCCCACCTGGGCATGAGGAGGTGGTTCAATGGAGGGAAAGCAAATACAGACGGAAAAGCTAAGTGGCGTCCACAGCAAGTTTTCCTTGGAACACCTTGCTGCTGGGGCAGGCAGTCTGATTGATTATAAGGAAGATATTTAGAGCAGGAGGAATCCATATAAAATTCAGAAACCAAATTCAGAAATCTCTGGTGCAGGTAGCACCAAAAAGTCAACCGTTTTGTTAAAGGCACCACTCAGTTTTAAAGTACTGCGCTTTCCTTCTCCACCAGAATTGTTAAAAGTACTATGCTGAAAAAGAATTGTTTACAAGGTCCACTGCTTCCCTTTTCTTCTCAGACTGTTAACTCTCAGGACCTTTAAGTAGTGGATAATACAACACTTGAAAGGTTATACTCCACTAGACAGGCAGATGATTCTGTTTGAGAAATTTAATGAGGATTCATGACCCTTACCCACAATTGCAATTTTAGATTGATCTGGTACCATTCTAAAATTTTCTAACGCTTGTGGTAGAGGTGTTCCATCATGGTATGAAAGACCTGAGTACACTTTTGGAGATTTTCTCATTTCTCTGGCTTATTGCTTCCACCCAAATGATTGGTGAACTTCAGTATCTGATGCCCCCCAAGCCAATGACACTAGTTCCCTTCAACCAGGGTACCAGCTCTTTATAAACTGGTTTGAAGTGGAAGAATACTCTAGGTATGTGTGTATAGTTTAAGAATGTACTCTGAATCAAGGTGACTACATTTTCCTGAAGACTTTACTGTTCCCTATGGCCATAGCCTTCATATGCAAGGGACTTCTCAGAGGATTGAAGGAAGAACTGCCTCACTTATATTTTACAAGTAAGACTTCCTCACCAAATCTGTAAAAGGGTACCTATGGTGTTTGTGTTTCTCTGTCTCAGCACTGCTTACATCATCACTTCCTGGCAGGTCTAGGAACTCTGGGGTAACATCCCTACACTCTTAATTGTCTCTTTTCCCCATGTTTTTCCTTGGACAGCTGGCTGGAGTTATTCAAATGACCCATGGCTGCTTTCTGAAACATATAGTAAAGGGAGTGGGGAAGACATTCATCTGGGTCTGTTCTTCTTGGTAGTCTGGGTTTCTTTTTTGGTTCCAGTGGTCACACCCCCTTGAAGCTGCTTCCTCCCTCAGGAACTGCTCCTCTGTAATTATATCTATCTGGTTTGTCTTTTTTCCCTATTAGGTGTGGAGTCTCTGACTGATTCAGTAGCTCCCCTTCTAAACTACATGGCTGATATCTAGTGGAAGAGAAGAGAGAGAAATATCCTTCTACACCACTGACAACGCCTTGCTTGCAATCTCTTCTATTCCTAAAATACTGAAATTTGGTTAGGGCTTAGCTATTTTAAAGTCCTCCAGGGTGTGGCTAATTTGATCAGCTAATCAAGTTCTCTTCTTCACTCAGAGGTTATACCTCATAGAGAGATCATAGGGTGTTAAACATTTTTAACCCATCAAAGGCTCATCACATGTAATTCTACCAACCGGGAAAATCACATCCTCTGTCCTTTACATTTAATTGTGGTAAACTGAAGTCCCCTTCCCACCAATACCCTGGTTTGCATTGATATGTTTCTCTGACCTTGGGCAAGTGCCCACTAAGTCTCTTTTTGATTCAGCAGCTCCTGTCAGGCCATGGGCACATACACCAGATTGTAGAAGGTCTTGAATTCCAGGCCAAAAAATTTGGACATTATCCTGTAAGGCAGAATTTTTCAAACTATGTTCCTTCATTTCTCTCAAGTTCCACCAAGCAAAAAGTGGGCAATGACAGACAAGTTCCTAGAACAAACCTACTACTTTTCCGTGTGTTGATTTCACCCAATGCTTTGAGTTTAGCTGACTAGGACAACCAACAAGCTAGATCAGAATAGATCACATGACAGAAAATTGACTTTTAATTTCAAGATTCAATCATTGAATTCATCTAATGAGATATATTTCTTTCTTTTTTTTTTATTTAAGCTAGGCAATGGGGTTAAGTGACTTGCCCAGGGTCACGCAGCTAGTAAGTGTTATGTGTCTGAGGCCGGATTTGAACTCAGGTCCATTCTGAATCCAGGGCTGATGCGCTATCCACTGCACCACCTAGCTGCCCCTCGTCTAATGAGATATAACTTCTTTATAGTAGAAAGAATGCTGAACTTGAGTGCAGAAGACCTGGGTTTGAGTGTTGGTACTAGGTGTATGACCTTGGGCCTAGTACCTTTCCTTTTCTGGCTCCTATTTTTTCATTTGTAAAATAAGAGGATGGACCAAATGATTGCTAAGTTCCTCTCCAGCTCTACTGACCTTTAACAAACAGCTGATTGCTGTTTTGTGCATGTAAAATAATAGGCATCTGTTAGGATCTCAAGTGGAGAGCTAGAAGGTTAGCTTGGAGGGTACCTAGTCCAACCTTCTCATTTTAATGATGTTTATGTAGCCCTCTGAAGTTTGCAAAGCTTTTTACTCAGGGTGTCTCATTAGCTCTTCACAATAACCCCATGAGGGGTCACATTTATTCTTCTCCCTATTTTAGAGATGAAGAAACTGAGGACAAGTGACTTGCCAGCCACATAGCTAGTGTGTGAGGTGGGATTTGAACACATATATTCCTGATTCTAAGTCTAAAACTCTATCTACTAAACTAGGTGTGGAAGCACCTTCAGCCTCAAGGCCACATGTGCAGCCCTTTAACTGAAATCAAATTTCACCCAACAAATCACTTTAATAAAAGGATTTGTTCTGTAAAACTTGGACTCAGTCAAAAAGCTGCATTCAAGGATCTAGAAGGCCACATGTGGCCTCAAGGTGGCAGCTTCCCCACCCCTGTGCTAAACAAATATGCCATGTAGAAGAAACAGACCACTTACTGGCTGTGTGACTCTGGGCAAGTCACTTAACCCCAACTGGCCTAAAAATTAAAAAAAAAAATTCTTAGAAGAAACAGACCCTAAGAGGTTGTGACATGACTTATTCAAAGTTATACAGGTAGGCAGCTGGGTGGCCCAGTGGGTAGAGCACTGGGTCTGGTGTCAGGAAGACCAGAATTCAAATCTGGCCTCAGATACTCACCAGATGTATGATCCTGGGCAAGTCACTTAACATAGTTGCCTCAGTTTCCTCAAATCAAATGGGAATAATAAAGAATAATGCTTCAGAAGGCTGTGAGAACTGAGATATTTGTAATGTGCTTAGCATACTAGCCTGGCATAGAGTAGGGACTATTTAATAAGTAACACAGGCAGTAAATATCAGAGCCAGGAATTCTAAACCCAAGAATCCTTCCCCTATAATGTAGGGTCTATTTACATTCCAAGTTAAAAAAAATTTATATCAAGCTGTTTTTATGCTTTTTATAACTGACTGAGTCAAATTTGTAAATTTGAAGTTATAAGAATGGAAAGGTGTTCCCAACAAAGAATCTGATGACAAAATAAATATCCATGGTTTCATTTCCAAATTCCCTGAACACAAGAAACACAAATTGGCTCTGTTTGTTTTTAAATGTACATTTGCATTTTTGCCAGAACCATGGAACTGCTTTAAAAAAGAGAAAGAGAACATAGCACACATGGTGCAATCTGGGCTCACTTCTAGGGGTCTTAACGTACTGTGTGTGCCTTGTTACCAAGATATTAAAAACATTTCCGTGGCCTTGGCAAAATTACAAAGGTACATTTTTAAAAAAATCAACAACAAAAAACCACAGTGACTTTAAAAACAAAATTCTCACATCCTAAAAGGGAAAATATGAACTGAAACAATTCCCTCAAATATTGGCTTTATGTAAGCCAAGGGGAAAATGAAAACTGTTGTGAATCGGCTCAGAAGGTGAGCTCTCACATTCAATATTGCTCCCAAAGATACATTATTTGTAAAATTGTTATATTAAGAGTAAAATTGATCTGAAAAATAATATTTAAAAACCAGTCAGATATTATGTTTGCCATCATTTTAATACAAGATTTTTTTAACAGTGTAGGGCCATCTAGCCAGATCACACCCCCTTCATGCTGGAGTGCTGGTATTCATTCATTCAACATTTGAGTGCCTTGCCATGTGCTAGAAACTGTGCTAAGCACTGGGGATAAAAAGATTTAAAAACCTGAAACAGTTCCTGCTCTATAGGAGTTTTCTCATGGCCAGCAAAGGAGGGAAGAAGATAAGGGACAAATAAACAGATAAATGAGACCAAAATATGCAAAAAGTAAATACAGTGTAATTTCCAAGGAGGTAGGGAGGGCATTGGCAACTGTGGAGAAAGGAAGGCTGGAATGTATTGCGACCAGAAGAGGGGAAAGTGTTACTTGGTGGCCACCCTTCTGGTGATAATATCTCTGAGCTTGGTTAGGTTGGTCCTTGAGACCAGGACTTTCATTTTCTGTCTCTGTACCCCCAGCGCCTAGCACAGTGCCTTGTTTGTAGTGGGAATGGAATATGTGCTTGTTGGTTGTGCCATCTGTCTTTAAGGCCTCTCAGCAATCCTTGGTAGTAAGGTGGTAAGGTAAGCAGCAAGGTTATTCTCATTTTACGGAACCTCAGGGTGGTTAAGTGACTTGCTGTGGTCACATAGCTAAATTTGCATTGAAGAATCAAGATTCCAAAAGGGGAAGTGGTCATCTATCAGAGCCTGGGTTTGAATTCAGGTCTCTTGACTTTGTAACCAATGAGTTTTCTCATTACACCATGCTCTTGTACCGATTAAGTACAAGGTGTGATCAGAGACTGCACTAGGCAGTGAAGAAGAAAACAAATAGTCTAAATTACTGCACTAACATCCCAACTGGTCCCCTTCCAGGCTCTCTTCTCCAGTCCACCAGGCTCAGGCTGCCAGAACTATCTTCCTAAAGCACTGGCATGAGTGTGTTGTTTTCAAAAACCTTATGTGTTCACCCTTTGCCAACAGCAGTGGTTCTCAAAGTCTTTTAGTTGCAGCCTGCTATATTGAAAAGAGCATTGGATTGAGGTTTTTTTTTTTTTAGTCCTGGATTCAAATTCTAACTCTGCCATTTCATAGCTGTGTAAAGATTGGTTGAAGGAATGGAGGATGTTGAACTTACAGAAAAGACTTTACTGTGATCAACTCAATTTATTCTTTTTGATCCTAGAGGATAGAACTAGGAACAGTTGGGTGAAATTTGCAAATCGGTAAATTTAGGCTTGATGTTAAAGGAAAAACTTTCTAAAAATGAGAGCTATCCAAAAGTGAAATGAGCTCCCTGGAGGAAAGCAATGGGTTAGACCTTTATTTAAGGTCTTTAAGAAAAGGCTTCCCAGGGATGTTGTCGACAGGATTCTTCTTCAGATAAGGATTGGGTTACTTGGCCACTGAGGTCCCTCCCAACTCTGAAAAAAAAATCAGTGGCATCATCAGACTTTCATCACCTACCTCACAGGGCTGTTGTGAGCAAAGCACTTGTCAAAACCTTAACAGACTGGAGAAATAATAATGTTGGTGATTCACAGCCTTAAGAAGTCAGTTTAAGTAACTGCTCCTATGGGGGAGGAGGAAGGAAGGTTCCTCTTAACTGCTCACAATTAATAGCGAACAATAATGTCGTGGCCACAGTATAATTAAGGTATGAACTGTGGTGCTTATGGCTTCTTGTTTTCTATGGCACTTTTTTGTTGTTTCTAAAAACAGGTATTTTGAACTTTTACCAAAAGAAACTGCTTTAGAAAGGAAACCACATTTCCTTTTGCAGATACATTGAACATGTTTATTTATGTTCACAGACATATTGGGCATATTTATTAATCCAATATCTTCTATAGCCACAGCATTGCCAGTGTAACCTGGCTTCACAGAATAAAATCACCTCAAAAATTCTGATTTGGGAAGGGCCATCCCTAATGACATTCTTACTGGTAGCTCACTGAAGACAGACTTAATCCAGTCTCATTAGTATGTTAGAGCTTGAAAGCACCTTACAACAAAATAATGTTAAAATACACACTGGAAAGGACTTCAGGAATTATCTAGTCCAATCCCCCCACTTTTTTTTTTTAACAGATGCGGAATTAAATTTCAGGGAGGCAAAGTATCTTGTCCACACATACTAAGTAGCAGAGTTAGAGCCTGAACCCAATTATTTGACAGTTTAATTCAATAATCATTTAACCACCTACTACATGTAAGGCACTTGCCAGTTTCTGGAGATATAAAGACAAAATGAAAAACTCCCTTTTCCTACTGGGGCATCTCTCCCTCTCTCCCCCAGAAATAAAAGCTATTTGAAGGAAGGGCAAGATAACTAGTAAGATCAGGAAAGTCTCTCTTGTTTGTTTTTACATCACATTTCTTTACACCCTGATCTTGACTCGAATCCAGCATCTTTTCCATTACACCATACTTCCGAGAGGAGAGAATATGTTCAATAATAAGAATGTACATAATCAAGAGAGTCATTAACAGTCAGCAGTGAAGGCAAAGAAAGCACATTTAGAAAATTAAGGGATTGGCGAGTTTGGGCCCCACTTCACAAAACGAGAGGGTTTGTGATGAAAGGTGGGAAGTTTGCAGAGCTTCACAAGGCCGTGTGGGAGAGGTTAGTGGGGCACAGTGAGCCCAGTCCTCCCCACCGGCCTCTCCACGTCTACTTCACTCTTACTTGTCTAAGAGAACAAACGCAAGTTTGTGGGATTGGTCTCCCAGGTCCTCACCACGGGTTTGCTTGAAGTGCATTCTTGAATACACACAATTGTGTGAATACACACACACACACACACACACACACACACGCACACGCACCGCATTCCCTGCGGCTGTGCCAATTCTGCCTGGTACCCCCTTTTCTTGGGAACAGACCCAATGTTTCCAAAGAGTCTGGAGTGGATGACAATGTGACCCCACTTCCTCTCCTGCAGTTGGCTCTCTTCGTAGCCCGGTTAACTCCTGGATTGCCCACAGCGGGAGTCCCCCTCGGATCCTCGGGCAGGCCCACTCCCTCTCTGCACTGAGGCTGGCCTTAAGGTGGGTATTGATGGTTAAGGCACAGGTTCAAGTGCAAATGGAATGTGGCCCCAGGGCCACGTGCCGTCGGCAGGTCGCGGGGGGTGGAGGAGCTGGGGGCGCCCCGCGGCCTCCGGGCTGTGTTTCCTCCTCCACGCAGCCCGTCTGTCCTGCCCGTAGGCCGGGCCGGCTCCCCGCTTGGCCCCAGTCTTGATTTCTTGCACCCCAGGGTGAGCACGGGCGCCTCGCACAGCCCCGGCCTCAGGCCTCGCCGCCTCCCTGACCCCAGCCCCGGCCTCCCCCGCGTCGCCGTCCCCGCTCCGGTCCCTCCCGGGGCTGGGCGGGATAGCGGGCGGACGGAGGCCGCTGCCGGCCCGGCCTCGGTCGTCGCTGCTGGCCGGCTGCGGCGGTCCCCGGCCCGGCAGCGGCGGCAGCGCGGGGGCGGCGGGGCGGGCTCCGGACGCAGGGGGCTCCCGCTCCCCGCTTCGGTCCCTCCTCCCGCCCGCTCGAGCCCCGGCGCCGGCGCCTCCCCCGGAGCATGTGTCAGAGCCGGGGCGGCCGGGAGCCCGCCGAGCCTCCGCCGCCGCCTCCGCCGGGGCCCGGCCCCCGCCGCCGCTGCTCCTCCTCCTGCGGCCGCCGCAGCCGCTGCGCCCCGCGGTGAGCAGGCTCCGCCGCCCCGGCCCGGCCCGGCCCCGCCCGGGCGATGAGAAGCTGCTTCTGCGTGAGACGGAGCCGAGACTCGCCGCCGCCGCCTTCGCAGCCGCCGCCGCCTCAGCGGGGAACAGTTAAGTGCGGGCCCGGGGCGCGCGGGCTCCGAGGCCCGGCCGGCCGGCGGGGGAGGAGGGGAGGGCCCGGCCGCAGGAGCAGAGGCGGCGGCGGGGGCCTGCGGACCGGGCTCCAGCGAGGCCTGGCCCGGGGGTGGCGCTTCGTGGCCCGCACTGCCCGGCTCCCGGGGCGGGGGGATGGCACCCCCCCCCGGCTAGGGCCCGCCTGACCCCGGCGGGGAGCCGCGTGCCCCCCCCTTCCAGGCCGGGTCTCCCCCCACCCCCCACTCCATCCCTCAGGCCTGTTGGGGCGGGGTGGGGTGGGGGTGGAGGGGATGTGGTTAACGCCAAGGTGCCCCAAGAGCCGTGCTAGGAGCGCATATCAGGGGGTGGGGGCTGGAGCTGGGGCCGAAAGGACCGCAGCTGAGCTTGGTATCAGGGATCCGAGAAGACGGGGCGGACTGCCAGGCCATGCACCAGGGAGCCAGGGTCCAAGGAGAGACTGGGCATCATGCCTTGGGGTTGGGCTTTTTGAGAGGAGCATCTGTACAGTGGTCATTTAGTCTGCCCCTGGATGACAGACACACGTGCTTTCTTAGAACAATAACCTTTTTTTTTCTCATTAAAGTATATTACCACTTCCTACCTCCACCCTTGAATTTTGCATTTCATTCACAATAGAGTAGAAGGCTAAGAGGATATATAATGGCCATCTCCCCATAATTCAAGGTTCCATTCAGATGATTTCTGCAAGACTGCAGGACAGCTCCCTCTCTGGGGCCTTTGTCTCTGGTGGTTTCTTCTAAAGATAATCTTGCTGTATGTTTCTAGACAGCTGGCTGGATCTCATCTCATTTTAACTGTGCTAGAAAATCTTATCAGCAGCACCAGAAACCCGTTAGAAATGTTAAGAGATAAGCTCTGTAGAAATCTACAGTAACTGAAAAACTCAATGTGCTTGGAAGGTTAGTTAAAGTATTCTAGTGACATCTTCTCTTAGGGTAACCGGAAATCATGGAGTGTATTTCTTGGTGTTTTGCCAAGCCCCAAATTACTTCACTTTGCATTCCACTTTTCTTCTGTGCAGGGATATCCTCTTTAGCTCTTATGAACTCCAAGATATCCTCTCTAACAATGCTCATTTTGCATCTGGCATCTCGCTTTTATTCTTTCTTTCCAACAGTAGTAATTTATTAAATTCTGGGTAGCTGGGTGGTGCAGTGGATAGAGCACCGGACCTAGAGTCAAGACCTAAATTCAAACATGGCCTCAAATACTTACTAACTCTTTTAGCCTGGACAAGGCATGGAACCCTATGTGCCTCAGTTTCCTCATCTGTAAAGTGAAGTTAATAACAGCACCTGTTCTTGTGACAATAAAATGAGACAGTATTTCTACAGTGTTTTGCAAACCTGAAGATGCTATAAAAATGTGAGCTATTATTATTACTGTGTGCAGAAGCACATAGTGTTCAGTGCTAAGAGAAATTGAAAGACAGGAAATGATCTCTGGAAAATCCAGTCCAGTGGAGGGTTTATATCAACCATCACTTAATGAACACCCACACTAGGCACTAGACACCATGCTTGGCAATGGGGATACAAATGCAAAAGTCAGAGAATTCCTGACCTCAAGGATCTTACTCTCTCTTATACATGAACAAATATAGAATGGGATGATTAACATCTGAGATTTTAAACTCCTTGACAACAGGGACTTGGGTGTTTTTTCCATTTTATCCCCAGTTCTAGGCAGAGGACTTGACTTTGAAAGGTGGTACCTCCATTGGTAGTGAGTGGAAAGATTACTGCATTTGAAGTCAGAAGATCTGGGTTCAAACTCCAGCTCTGCCAGTTACCATCTGTGGGACATTGAACAAGTAGCTTTATGTCTCTGGTCTTAACATTCCTCAACTGAAAATTGAGTGAGTTAGACTAGATAGTTTCTAGCGTCCTTCCCATATCTAAAACACATGATTCTAAACTATTCAAGATTTGTGAAAGGAAAGAATTTTCAAGAGGAGCAGGGAGGAAAAAGAGAGTTGGGAAGGCTTTGTGGAGGAGGTGGTATTTGTGTAGGGCATTGAAGGATGAGTAGGATTTCAACCAGTAGAAGGAGAGCCTTCCAGGGATAGGGAATGATGTGTACCAAGACAACACTGTTGCTGCTTATCCCCTTGACTCCAATGTTTTGCTTTTCAGCCCTTCTCTTTTGCCACTGTTAAAGCAATCTTAATTCGGAAGTCTGATCTTGTCACTTTCCTGTTCAAAAACTTTGACTTTTCCATGACTAGAGGATAAACTATACACTCCTCTCCCTGGCATTCAAGGTGCCTCCCCCCAGTGGCTTCAAATTCCCTTCCAGCTTTATCTCACACAATGTGTCTGCATACAGAGGTGTTCAGAGCTTGTTGGCCCCTTTTCAAGACTGCTCATTCATCTTTGGCATCCACCTTTTCACCCAACTCTCACCTCTGGCTCCAAGAAGCTGTAGCGTGTGCAGTTGCCATACCCCAGTAAAACTGTCTTGATAGACAGGCTAAACCAGATTGAGAATAACTGATGGGCCTCATAGGAGTTAGGGAGATGTCTACCCCAAGCATGTGAAGACTTCCTCTGGTGGAATGGGCAGATGAGGGGTTTATTAATATATTTATATTAATATAAATTACATAATATATCAATAAATTAGGGGGGTACCAATTTGTTCCAAAGGCCATTAAGGCAGCTGAAGCAGGTGCTGTGGAGCAAGTGGAGCTTGGTCAAGTATCAAAGAGGCCAAGGTCATCCAATGAATTCTATGCCATCGTCAGTCTCCCTGACTTTTTGTCTCACCCCTAGATTTTGATGACTCTGGCAGAGAGTGAGGCTGATGACTTTGTGCAACTCTGCCTCACTTAAATCCAGTTCATGAGCAAGTCAAGAATCACCTGAAGGACAAACAATATTCCAGCCAATCTACAATTTTTTTGATCTTTTTCTCCTCCCTCTTATCTCTGTGCTTTTGTATAAAAATTGTATATGTCCCTCATATCTGGAACTGATGCCATCCACAACTCCACTTGTCCAGATCCTCCATGTAAAAGGCTTGGCTTAGATACCACCTCCTCTCTGGTGCCTTACTTGATTCAACTTCTGTACCACCCCTTACAGGTGACATTTACCTCTCCTGCCTCTGACTTTGTATGTGATCATTTTATTCTCACTTATTATATTGTGTTTTTAGCCTCTCTTGTATTTAACTTCCCCTTCCATTCTACATCCCAGCCAGATTCCCCCATGTCGGACATTCCATCAATCCATCTCTAGTCTATATGCTTTCAGAGTCAAGTTGTTCCCTCATACCCGGGGTGTTCTCCCTTCTTGCCTTTACCTCTTGGAATTTCCATTGCCTTTAAGTGTAGAACCTGGTCTTTCTGGATTTCTATTCCAGAAATAATTTTGTATTTACTTTGTGTATATGTTATATTTACTTATCTAGGTATGTAAATGTAATTCCTTGATTTTAGAGACTATCATTTTTGTCTTTGTACCACCCTGCCTAATACAGTGCCTGACATATAATAGGCATTTAATAAATACTTGCTGCATTTAACAACTAAATTGAATTCATCTTGATATTCTCAATGTCTTTTGTATATAATGTCTCCTAGAGTTGGGGAAGTAAGCCAGATGATTTTGGTAGCAGTGTGAAGCGAGAACTAGAGAGGGAAGACCAAATAATCTTAATGCAAGTAGTCAGGGCAAGAGAGGATCAGTGGCTTGAACTGGGATGGTAGCTGTGTGAATGGAGAGAAGGGGACAGATGTGAGGTTGGATCTGAACCGCTGATTAGAGGGATTGAAGGAAGGGTCAAGGACGACTTCAAGATTTTGAATCTGGATGACTGGAAGAATGGTGAATTTTTTTTTTCAACAGAAAGTGAAATTTGGAGGAGGAAGTTTAGGAGTGAATTTGGGGTACAGCACTTTCAGAAGGATATTTATAAACCAGAAGTCTGGAGGACAGAAAACAGAGTGATGACAGGACCAAACACTGTTACAGAAAGGTCAATTTAGTTTGGAGAACAGCACACTTAGGGATTCCTTTTAGTACTTAAAGGGTTGTGATGTAGAAGAGATTTCCTTTCTCCTTGGCTCCAAAGAACAGAAGAAAGAGCCATGGGTGGAAGTTGTAGAGTTAGCTGATCATAACAAAAGACTTCCTAATAATTAGAGCTGACTCAAAGTAGAATAGCCTGCTTTGGAGGCAAGAGTGC